TTTAATATTTCAAGATGTCTCTAGCTATATGTCCTAGTTCATTACAAACATCGACATTGAGATCTAGGTTTTCCTGTTGGGCAAGCAGGCTTACTCCATCTCTTTCTATAATATTTCTTTTTAGGAAACTTTTTTCTTTTCCTTACACAGGTGCAAAAAGGCTACGAGTTTTTCGATATGAAAATTTGGAGTCTGCTTTAGAACCACCAAACACCCCTTTTAGAGATTGAATTATGAGTTTTTAAACACTTAGATCTGACCATTCAAAATTTGGATAGTCATCGTTTAATCTTAGGATATTCTTTTATTTTGTAGCACATAAAATGCACACAATCTTCATATTTTTCTTTTTCTTTTCTGATGCTAGTAGCTAGATTGGGGCTACATCCCCAAAAAATTGGAGTTCTAATAATAATCCTTAGCACGATGCCTAAGGGAGTGAATGGGCAGTATGCTCCCAATGGAGCATAATATTGTCTTCTGACGTTTTGAGCATATAATCCTTCGTACGTTTAGATTTTTGCACAAGCCCACGGGTGTCTTGCACCATACCAGTCATAGGCCTTCCAAAGATTGGTTTAGTTAGCACAGGAATCTAACTTGAGGGCGTAATACTGCAAATAGTCAATGCAATGCCTGAATTCCAAAAGATAACTGTTCACTTAAATGCCAAAGAAAAGGGATAAAATTACACATTGGATCATGAAAATGAGTCATCTGCTCATCACATATATTCACATTTACGGCCCGCGTGTGTGAGAGAGACTTTGAATTTTGAATGCACCAAGCAGAAGACCAAGGGAACGCTGTGAGAGAAAAGTTTTCAAACTTCTCCCAAAAAAAAAAAAAAGAAAAAGAAAAAATCAATCGACTGGGAATGAGTGGATACGAAAATAGACACTGAATACAGGTTCAGAGAGAGAAATACGAAACATTAACGCACAAGACGGAGTGCTTTAAAGAGAGATTTGATGAGAGAGAGAATAAAATACAAAAAGAGGAAAGAGATTGTTAATCATTAAAGTATAGAGGGAAAGATCCAAGCGTGCCTGCGCTGGGAGTGTCGATATGGACCTCTAATTCTGCTATTTCTTTGCCAACAAAAAATATGTTACTCTTGTGGGAGCATACTGTTCATTTTATTTTTTGGACCATTTTTTGAGATGTAACCTCTTGAACCTAGTGCAATTTCAGAAAACAAAAAAAAGAAAAAAGAAAGAAAGAGGCTCAACATCCTCAAATTGTAGGACCATCTAATTTCTGAAAGGCAAGATCTAAATGTTGAAAAACTCAAAACTCCTATCTCTTTCTTGAAATAATAATCTAGTCATTCTTAGGTGGATCCCAAAATTTGTACTTCCAAATTGTTCTTTCGCCCAAGGGAAATAATGCTTGTGTAAGAGCATGATATACATGCTCCTCTTTTTTGAAAGGGGAAGATCTAAAAGTTGAAACAATGTTCGTAAAATTGAACCGGAACGGCTAACCGGACATGCGCGTGGAAGCGGTTTAACCAACCTAACCGATAAACCGGCCGATTCAACCGCTCTAACGGGACAAATCCTAGGCGGTCAAAAAAGTGTTGAGAAAAAAAAAAAAAAATCTACTAAAATATGAAAAGCATATAAAGAATGATTAAAACAAAACACATTCAAATGAAGTTCAAAATTAATGAAAAAAATGGATTTTAACTCATTTACTATTTTTCAAATGCTATTTTTAAAACTTTCTAAAAAAGATGGGAAAATATAAAAGTGAGTATTAATGACCAAAACAATTTTTAATTTTTACCATAATGTAAAGAATATTTAAAAATGCATTACAAATCAAATTCCTTAATTTTGAGAATTTATATACATTTTTTTGAATTATTTTTAAAAATACCGGTTGATCACCCTAACCGCCCAAAACCGGAACCAGCCAGTCTAACTGGGCGTTTAGCAGTTAGATCGGGCGATTTTGCGAACAATGGGTTGAATGACTTAAAATCCTATATTTTTCTTGAACATAATCATCTTCAGGTGGATCCTAAAATTTGAGATAAAAAAAGTACTTCCAAGTAGCTCTATTACCCAAGGGAGATAATAAACAGCATGCTCGTGCAGTGCATTTTAGCAGTACTTTTGTCATTGTCCCTTTCTAAACCCAGACTGGTAAGAAAATGCTGCAAAATAGCGCCCAAATGGAAATAGCTGGAGGGAAAGAAAACCTTGTTTTCCCCATCTATGGAATCCTAAAACCTTGTTTTCCCCATCTATGGAATCCTAATAATAAGGATACTCGCAGAGTGACCATCGTCCAAATTGGCCCTCAGGTTCTCAATTGGAAATGGGTCTTGCTTTCACGTGAGAGTTTGTATAAAGGTTTTGTAGAGAAAAAGATTAGATCAAATTAGAGCTCAGGGAAGGAGATCGAACAAAGAAATATTTGGACGACACAGAGAGAGATTAGATGGTGGATTCCTCTGAGGAACTTGCACAAAAGATAATGGACACTAGATAATTGGTTTCTATCAAAGCTTGGGATTAATAGAAAGAAACAAGGGCCTGATTGTCCAGGTCAATGGACAACTGCACAAACTGAGACAGAAGATATAACACATAAATTCTCTGAACAAAAAGCCCCAACCAAAATTTGAATAAATAATTCAACTGCTCAACTTTATAAGGAGATTATCCCCATGTGCGGAGCATGCTAGCTGGGCAAGATGTTTAACTAAATATGGGAAAATATTTCAAACATAATAAACAAATCAAAAACATTTTTTGATATGTTACAATAAAAATTGAGTATATTGCATATACTCTGACATTGTCTTTATAAAAAAAAAAAAATGTCATCAATTCATCATGGCAATCAAGGGGAAAGAGAAGGGTTCACCACTTTAAGCTCGCCACAATTACTTATGGAGACCGTCTTGAGAGGGCGGTTCCAAATGCTACGAGCATTCTGGGCTCTCTCATCGCCAAGGAATTCTGCTAAGTCATTGAACTGGCGTATCCGCTCAGATGGCTTGAAAGTTGGAATTGTAGCTAATGTTCTCACAACATCTAACCCTGAAACTCTTAGCTCATCAAAATATAGATGTAAAAGGAGCCACTAAAAAATGAAAATCTTTCTCTCATCCTAATTTGTTGGGGAAGTGGATTTGAAAACCCAAAACCTGATGATTGGGATGGGTTCATGAAATGAGTACTTTCCATTCAGAAATGGCGGAAGTGTAAGAAATTATTTGTAATCACCTTGAACAACAACATTTCAAGTACCAGATCGTTTTTCATTTAAGATGGTAACCGAGAAGATAATATTAATAATCATCTTTTGGCCTTAATGGATTCAGTAAAACATTTACCCAGTAAAACATGCCCTTTATAAAGGACTGCAGCTGTCCTCGCACAGCTGCATGAATATAGCAGAAAAGCAGAACACTCATAATAAAATGGGAAAAAAAAAAGGATTAGATTTCTAGCAAAACACACAAATTTGGATGTGGTAGTATGGCCAGAATAAACTAACAGTAATAGCAACTCAAATAAATTAAGGTGCGGTTTGTATAAGGTTGCAACTTTAAACAATCAAATTAAGGGGCACCTCCAACTTTTATTATAAATATACTTCTGGTGTAAAAAATTCTTAGGATGTCTTGAGAATCTATTTTCATCACTAGATATAAAATCTTAAACTCCAAAATAGTTCAAATCAAGTAGATCTATAAACAATTGAAAATCTTGAAAATGGACGGTCTAGATAATTTGTTGCAAGATACACTATGTTTAGGACTCAAAATCTTTTTTTCTTTTCATATTCATATATCTCGGTGTCAAGATGATCAACTAGAGGGTTTTCCAACATCAAACGACCTTCGATGATGGATTTTTTAGGTGCATCTTGATTCTACATTTTAAGGTTGCAACCTTATATAAACGTTTTCCAATAAATTATGGAAGACCCTACAAAAACAAATTGATGATACCAGCATTTTCTATTAAAAATTATTTGATTTTCAAAAAGGACATTTTTGCAGTTTTAAGAAGAAATGCAATACCCATCCAACCAATCATAAGATTATATAGCAGTAAACCATATATATATATATATAAAATAAATCAAGAAAAGAAACACTGCAGAACAAGTTAAAGAATTCTCAAAAAACAAGTTAGTTAAAGATAACATGTAAGTTGATTTTAAGCACAAGCTTTTTTCCAAGTAAGAATGATTTATTCACAATCTTTAACATTAAATAAAATATTACCCAACAAACTATTAATCTCTTAAGACCATGGAATTAAAACTACATTCATTATCCAAGAAAATGATTTCTTATGGTTGCGAATCAGTGCTACCGAATATTGAAGATATGCTCTTGATACCAGCAATCTTAGGGCAAGTCAGGATTCAAACCCAGCTCAGTGAACCTATCAACTTCTCCAGAAAAGTTAGTATTGGAGACGATGTTCAAAAACTTGGACTAAACTAAGTCAACTGGCCACGTTAAACAATTGACTTACTGAAACGCTGACAGGTTTTCAAGTTGATAAAATTTTCTTGAAGAAATAAAAAGTCTGTAATGGGATTTGAGCCGAGCTTGTAACCAAGTCAAAGCACATTCTTGGCACAATAGAAAAGGTTATAAGTCAGAGAGAGAGAGAGAGAGAGAGAGGTACATCCAAGTTTTCCAACTATAAAGTCAAGTTTGCCCAGCACATTTCCAAAGTTGAAAATGCGTTTTTAATCACTGCTTGAAGTGATTTTTATTAGGTGAAAGAGAAGTCTTACAGTCACCACGGTGGCTAATATACATTACCTTTACGGGGCAAATCACAACGGAGCAATAATGCACCTCTAAGGCCCATCCACTGTTGAAAGATATAGCATAGTACCACATTAGCCAGTATTCAGCATAATTATTGTCTTTTCTTTATCAGTAACCATGGGATTCAAACCTGCAACCTAGTGTTTGTCAAATTTCATGCTAAGTACTTAAATAAACAAACAGAAAATCACAAAAAAAAGATCTACCTTTGGGATTTCTTTTATTTATTTGAGGGTACACTCTTCAAGGGCATCAACTTGATGCGAGGTTAATTACATCTGAGGGAAAGACCCCTGAATCTCGAAACAAGGAAAAAATGAATGAATCTATCACCTAAGGAAATAAAAATGCTTTGAGCCACCTTTGGCTCAAACAACGCCTCCCTTCTTCTCTTATAAAATCTTCTCTTTCTCAGTTTCTCTAGTCATAGTTCTTCTCCTTTCTCTTCAGTCTCCTGCTCTCCCCCAAAGTCCTCTCCTTGATTTTATCTTTTATAGAGGATGCAATGGGTCATAACTTCACCAAGTGCCTTTAAAAGAAGGGTCTTCTTGTTTTGAACTTAAAAAGGATCCAGTGTTTCCACTTTGTTACGGGCTGTGTAGGACCAAATATTATCCACAAAAAGCACGGACTTTGAAATTGGGAATGCAAAGTAGTTCTCCTTCCTGTGTTTTTTCCCTAAGGAATTTGAAATCCCATCCATACTGGCGGTGTTTATGCAATTTGAGCCCCTTCATCATCTTCATCAGAGTAAAATAGAGCATTCAAAAAGTGGAAAGGAATGAGAAAGAAGCTGTCTTCTCTACCATTATCAATAACTTTTCCAATTCAACTTTTAGAGGGAGCATCAAGTTCATTCCCTTTCAATGTTTTAAAAACCATATGGTTGAACATAAACCAAGACCAAAACCGGTCCCATTTATTAAAAAGGTCATGTAGAGTCTCTGTATGTCAGTTGATCTGTTTCATATATATGTAATTCTAAGGGCACATAAGGGATTTCATCATTCTTTACGACTGATTAGTCCCTTTGTGTTTTCAATAAGACTATTTTATCCTTTGTAACTTAGTTTGTATATAAATACATAAAGGACAAGCCTAGGGCTTATTTTCAGTCCTCAACATGATCTCTCTCTCTCTCTCTCTCACTCTCTCGTTCACTCATTTTCTTTCCTCTCTCCTGCAGCCTTTTTCCTTCTTAGAGATCTAGGTCCACAAATTTGACATAGTAGCCTGAGTGGGAATAAGCTTTTTCTGGTTCAAGATACCAGATCTGAAGTTTGAAGGGATTCTTGAGGTTTGCAGTGATCAATACTTGCAGCCACCCTTTCCAGATCCCATATTTGAAGTTCGGAGAAATACCTAGGGATGGCAGTGGTCAATACTCGCAGCCCTGTTGTAGTGTTCAAATAGCTGGATTTTTGCTCAAATAATCACAACTGATCCAAGGTGTTTATTAAATTATCCAACTTTGCAACATCATTTTTTAGACAAGCTTCTTATCCATTAAATGGGAGATCAAGGAATATATCGTCGAAGTTATTCCATGTCCTGGCAATTGTTGCTATCAAGTGGAATGACAACTAATTAGTATGGCCAAGTCTATCACAATGATACTTCAGGGAAAATAAAAGATCAAATGCATAGAAGCAACATTCTGGTGCTCAGGTCCTTATGACCTAAAGTATGAAGGGTGCATGGCATCAGATTCAATTATATGCCATTGGATTCTCAATTCTAATCAATGAAACCATTAGAAATGGATTGTTACTCCTCCAGTCAGCCCAAGAAATCTGGGAAACTTTAAAAGGAGCAATTTTCCCAGAAAGATATATTACGCGAGTGGCATCAAACTCTAAATGGATACAGCCTTACGCTCTCAAGGAGAGCAATCTCTAATAGGGTATTATGGAGCACTCAAAAGTATGTGGGAGGAACTCAACTTCATAAGCCCTCGCGTATGTGCCCGACTGCAAATTTTGGAATGATAATGACGCAAATAAAAATTAGGGTCATCACACTTTTATTTTATGAATTAATTTTTGTTTAAATGAATAGGGTAGTGTGTGAGTTGTTTTGGAGATATGGTTGGAATTTAATATTATGTAAAGGATTAAGCTAGTTTTAAGGAGATAAATGTTAATTAGGTTTAGTTTGAGATAAATGTTAATTAGGTGTAGTTAGGATAAGGCTTACTTGAGGTGGTTTGATAAGGGAGACATGAGTTTTAAAGAGAGACAGAGAAAGAGTTTATTTTTGTCGGTATTTATTTATTTATTTTTCTTCTAAGTGTATTTAAAGTGAAGAAGTCCCTCATTGTAAAAAGAAGAGATTTGGTGATTAAATAACGAGTTGGTCTTGTGACAAGATTTTTTGGGGTGGATTCCCTTGTAGACCCCGAGAGAGGGTATATTCTCACCCATTATTATCATTTTTATTATTTCTTCCCTCCATTTCCCCTATATCAGTTAGTATCAGAGCAAGTAAAATCCATCAATCACAATGCCGCTAAAATCCGCTCTTACAATCGATGATACATTACTGCAAATCATGGAGTTTGTATGTTAACAAATTAAGGAAAGCATGAACACAACTATAGACCGTATCCGAAGAGGTCTAAGAAAAATTAAACACCGAGTGCAACGGTTGGAGAAGAGGGTCCTTGCAATCATGAAGATCTGACACCAGATTTTGTCTTAGGGATGAATCGAGACCCACGACTAACTAGGGGTGCCGATCCTGAATGTGACGATCACATTGTGATGCAACAAGAACCACGTGATCTTGACATTCAACTCGATCTTCTCAAATTTTACGAGGAACTTGAAAAAGAAAAAGAAATCACGATTGAGCCCGAAATCCAGCATTTGACTTCGAGATGAGTACAAAGTATTTGATGAATCGGTTTATTGAAGGAAAAGTACTGAGGCACATGGTGGGACTACATCACCAATTATTTGATTAACTTCTGAAGGATGTAAGCTGGAGATCGAGCTTGTCCCAAGCTTGGGAGAATGATGCAAATAAAAATTGGGGTTATCAAACTTTTATTATGGATTAATTTTTGTTTTAGTGAAAAGGGTAGTGCATGAGTTGTTTTGGAGATATGGTTGGTTTAAAAATTAGGCAGAAGATTAAGTTGGTTTTAAAGAGATAAATGTTAATTAGGTTTAGTTAGAGATAAATATTAATTAGGTACAGTTAGAATAAGGCTTACTTGAGGTGGTTTGATAAGGGAGACGTGAGTTTTAGGGAGAGGTGGTTTGATAAGGGAGATGTGAGTTTTAGAGAGAGTATATTTTCTGTGGGTTCTTTTTTATTTATTTATTTTCTTCCAAGTATATTTAAAGGGAAGAAGTCCCTCATTGTAAAAAGAAGAGATTTAGAGATTAAGTAAAGAGTTGGTCTTGTGAAAAGATCTTTTGGGGTGGATTCCTTTGCAGACCTAGCAAGATGATATATTCTCTCACCCTTTATTATTAGTTTTATTTTAATTATTTTTTCCCTCAATTTTCCCTACATCAATAGGTATAAGAGCAAGTAATATCCATCAATCACAATGCCGCTAAAATCCACTCTTACAGTCAATGATATAATGCTGCAAATCATGGACTTTGTGAGTCAACAAATTAAGGAGTCCATGAACACAACATAAAGGGTATCTGAAGACACCAGCAAAATTAAACAGCGAGTGCAACAGTTGAAGAATACTATTATTCGAGAAGGCACCAAGAAAAGACAAGAAGGAATAATACTATTATTCGAGAAGGCACCAAGAAAAGACAAGAAAGGATAAATACCATTATTCGAGAAGGCACCAAGAAAAGACAAGAAGGGATAAAATTGACAAGACGTAGTGAGATGAGGATGTTGAGATGGTTGTGCGGCAAGACAAGAAGGGATAAAATTCAAGATGAATACATTCGGGAGAACTTAGGTGTGGCTCTAATAGGTGATACGATGAGAGAAATTAGACTTAGTTGGGTCGGCCATATGTAGCGTAGACCCAATACAGTACTTGTTGGGAGGTGCGAGTTGGTTCATGAGGAAGGCTTAGAAGGGGCAAGAGGTAGGCCCAAAAGGGAAGATAAATAGAAGAATATTTAAATATTATAGAAGATAAATGGAACCCCCAGCTTCTGAGGGCCCTACACTTAACAGTTTACTTCCTTAACCCTGCTCACTATTATACTGATCATGAGGTACATACCAAGACTGATTTCATGAAAGCTTTCAATCAATGCAACATCAAACTCAGCCTTGATTCTGAAGTCCAAGACAAGGTCGCAATGGAGTTAAACAAGTATAGGCTTTCTATTGGGTCTCTTGGATAGGAGTTGGCAATAAGGCAAAGGACCAAGATCTCTCCTGGTGAGTTTAAAACTTCTTAATATACAAATACCTTATGTAATACATTTACATTTATGTGAAATAACTACATGGTGGAGGAGCCATGGGGGAAGCACCCCACATTTGTGGCATATGGCCATGTGTATATTGAATCTGACTTGTAGCTTGTCTGGATGTGAGCGTAACTTCAACATGTTTGAGATGGTAATATTACTTACATAGTACTATAGTTGGTTGCTCATTAGTTTGTTAGCCTATCACAAGGTAATATTACTTACATAGTACTATAGTTGGTTGTTAGTTAGTTTGTTAACCTAATCTGTGATATGTTTTTGTAAGTTTTAATTGTTCATTCAAAATTTGTCTAGTAAGGTTCATAAAAAGAAGAGGAACAGACTTGAGCAAAAGTGAATGAACGACCTAGTCTTCCTTCAGTATAACCACAAGTTGCATGAGCGTTATCAACAGTTAGAGCACAATGAGGAAGGCTATTGAAGTTGATGATACTTGAGAGTGGCTAGTTGATGCTAAGGAAGATGAGATATTCCTTGGAGAGCGCTCACTTGGGGCCGAGTTCATGAGGCTATTGAGATACCATTGAGCCCTATGCAGACCACTCAATCTCAATCTCAATCTCAAAGCCAAAGGAAAGGGATGGGGAAGGCAAAGGATAGGGTGAAGGGGTTGGTGGGATTGAGAGAGGAGGCTGAAGAGAATGAAGCAAATTCAAATGAGATAAGGGATGCTTCATATGTTGAGGAGGAGGACGACTTTGAACATGATGGCATGGCATCATCATCATATTCTACTCAGAGTGGTGATGATAGAGAATTGTCATTTTAAGTCGTTTGAGGTGGTGATGAGTGAATAGAATTGTTTGACTTTTGATGGTTATGTAAATGTAATATACTATATGACATTTGGGTTTCGTTGCAATTCGATGATGGTTGTGTCTCTGTACCCTATAATTATCTTTCTTCTTTTCTTTCCTTTTTTTATTTTATTTCAGGGGATTTGGGCCTTTAAAACTGGCCTAAGAACTCCCTACGGAGCCTATTATTCTTGGGCGCACGCCTAGCCCCCGAACCGCCTAGGTGGCCGCGTTCAACTTTTTGAACAATGCCCAAAGCCAAATCGCTTAAATTGCCTAGTTCTGCTTCAGCTAGAAATTCTCTTGGGATCACAAAGCATTTGTCCCAACCACTATCACTCAGATGACCAACCCCTTTCCACCTCCACCACAACTAATCTCGTCCTCTTGGCCCTAGTCTCCTCCTCTACTCCCTCTATGATTCCTCCAAACTCAAAACCCTCTACATTCCATCTTAATACCTTATCCCCCTTCACTCTCTGTTTACTCAACACCAAAACTCTCAGGCTACCCCTCCCA